GTATTGTAAAATAAAATAAATAAAATTAAAAAAAAATCACTCAGACGCTTATATTACTTATAAACTGTATGGCTGTGGCAGGCTTCTTGTTATCTACTTTTTAAAAAAATCTTAAATTAACCCATTTTTATAAATCTATACCTTGCCACGTGGCTTGTGGCTTACCAGCATCTTCACATGCTGCTTGTCATGGTGGCAGCTGGTAGTATCTCTCTGTCTCAGCCTTCCACTTCCCAGAATTTTTTTCTCTCCTTGTCCCACCTATACTTCCTTCCTGGCTACTGGCCAAACAGCATTTTATTTATACAGAGCATTATCCACAGCACTGGAGAGTTTTCTCTCCAGGTTCTGCCAAGCCCTGACAGTCCCTTAGCCCATTTATAAAATAAACATACAGACGCTTACATTATTTAAACTGCTTGGCCATTAGCTCAGGCTTATCATTGTCTAGCTCTTACTCTTATATTTAGCCCATTTTTATTAATCTATATTTTGTCATGTGGCTCGTGGCTTATTGGTACCTTACATCTTCCTTGTCGTGGCGGCAGCTGCAGTCTCCCCCTCTGCCTTCCTGTTCCCTCAGCTGCTGGATCAGTCCGAGAAGGCAGAGGTGGAGGAAACACTCAAGAGACTTCAGAGCCAGAAAGGAGTGCAGGGAATCATCGTGGTGAACACGGAAGGCATTCCCATCAAGAGCACCATGGATAATGCCACTACTACACAATGTGCCAACCTCATGTACAACTTCATCTTGAAGGCATGGAGCACTGTGAGTGAAATTGACCCCCAGAATGATCTAACCTTCCTTCAAATTCGCTTCAAGAAAAATGAAATTATGGTTGCACCAGATAAAGACTATTTCCCGATTGTGATTCAGAATCCAACTGAATAACTGAATTAAGCCACTGTCTTGGCTTTCTGTTTCATTCCTTAATTTAACATCCCCCAGAATAATAGTGTTAATCATGTCAGTGGGCACAGGGTGGTTGCCTGAGAGCCCACATAGACCATGCCATTGATCAATGGTAGCTTTGCCCAATCCAACAAGGAGTGTCTCTGGTGATCCAGTCAGTTCTCATTTCCAGGCTTATGATAAGCCCACACACAGCTTCCGTCTGACCTTCAGTTCACTATGTCACCCTTGGAAAGCCTATTTTTTTCTTTGACTAAAAATAACTTCAAAATTAAAAAAAAAACTTGTTTATTATGAAGCAATTGAAAGCATATTCTTGGTTAAAAGTTTACTTGTACTATAAATGATAGTCATAGAAACTCTGAAAGACAGAGGTTGTGTTCTGTTTCCTTGATACATGAACTTAGATTCTGATACCACCCCCAGGGTTTCTCTGTGTAGCCCTGGCTGTCCTGGAACTCACTCTGTAGATCAGGCTGGTCTTGAACTCAGATTCACCTGCCTCTGCCTCCCTATGGACCACCATGCCTGGCTGCGTATTCTGTGTTCTTAATGGAGTTGGGGGGTTGAATATGCTAGGGTGAGGCAAGAGCAAGTCCTGGAAAGGCACTGCTACTTTGCTTTGTATGAAGTGATCCTGTTAAAAGTTAACTTTTTCTCACAAGAGACTGCCTCAGGCCCAAGGCTATACAAAGTCCTGTAACCCACAGGCCCCAAGAATAACTCTTTCCTTTCTGTGTTTTTCTTCCTTCTCTCTCACAGCTTCACTAGGGAAGACGCACCCTGGAGGCTATGATAGACTTTAGACAGGAGAATGAGGGAGGGTACAAGAGGGAGCCCTCTGTGTCTTAGGACACACTTTTCCATCTGGTGCTACACAGTGATTGGAAGCATGGACAATGGACTTTTCTTACACTATCCAGATGACTGTCTTAGAGTAACATGTACATACACAGGGAACAATGTAAACATTTAAAAAATACTTGCACCATCAGACACTATCATCAAGTCCTATTAAAAGTCCAATTCTAAAGCAGTAATATACTCTTCCAGTGGAGAGTTTCTGATGAAACCTTGACAGTTATAACTGAAGTCCATCAGCAGTGGTCGAGAGTCCTTTTCTCTAATTGTTGACCTTGGCAGGTAGAAGTTCCCACAGTCTGCCCAGCAGGGACAGATTCCAATTAGGTAACTCAGACTGGACTGGCATATAAATTAAACCAGGCTAGATAGTGAGTACCCCTTGGATCCAGAGAGGGGTTTGGATAGGCCCTTTGGTAATGACATTCTAGGTGGTTTATGAAAAATGTGGAAGACAGGATGAAAATAATTTTACTCTGTCAACAGGTTTAGTAAAATATTCTCTTACCTGATTCCTTTAAATCTTTTTGTTTAATCTCTTTTAGATCATAGATGGGACTGAAAGCCTTGGCCAGTTTCCAGATGAGGAAACTGAGGCTGAGGGATGAAACTGTTCACCCATTGTCATACTTTCTGACTTAGTTTGATGCTATCCCTACTGGATCAGTGGAGCACTTAACCTTGGCAACATGGTAGAATCACCTGGGAGCTTTAAAAAGTTCTGGCTGCCTAGGCTCCACCCTCAAGTTGATTCAACTGGCTAAAGATGCTGCCTGGATGTCCCCAGATAATTCTAGTCAATCTGAAAAGTGTTGCACCAGATTCTGGTGTTTCTCTAACTAGAGTCATCATCTGGCACAGCAGGAACCTTGGGCTTTGGCCACACCCACCTGGAGTGAAGGTAATTTGCTGACCAGCTTTGTATTTCTCTGACAGCTACATATGCATATAATGTACCTTTTAGTAATAACGCTGAATGACCCTGTCATACTCAGTTGGCTGAAGACCAGACACAGGCAGCTGTTACCAGCTCTACTTAAGGCACTGTTTCTGATTGTGATATGAGGTATGACAAAGGTCTGAAGAACAAACAAGATGGAAAAGGTCTGGCCAGTATTCTTTCCTTCACTCACAGTGAAATATCACAGGAGACACTTTAACAAGCACTTGATTTCAGATTTTAAACGGACATCACTGGTAAAGCTTTAGTTGTGAAGGGTCCTCTTTCTAAATACTCTGTGACACATGGTGTAATTGAGAATACTGATTTGTTTTACTTTAATTCCCCACCTCCTGAGTGCTAGAATTACAGGCATGTAGCACCATGCTCGGTTGATGTGATGCAGGTGATGGTACCCAGGGCTCTGTGCATACTAGGCAAGCACTCTTCCAATCAAGGCACCTGGAACAAGTGCTGACTTTTTTTTTTTTTTAATTGTCCTAACAATAATTTCTTGTGCATATTTCCCTGTTTTCCTAGCAACTACCCCCTGGGAAATGTTTTCATGGTTTTTCAGAATCTATTAGAAACTGTGACAATGGTAGTGATGTCTACAATTTCTCCAGTGCTTACTACATGCTAACAACTAGGCCGAGAAATTGCCTACTGCTTTTTCCTGTGGTCACCACAGTCCTACTGTACCCCATCACTGTCCCCACATTACAGGGAGGGTTTTAACCCCTGCAAAGTACGGCTGGTAACTGGTAGTGCTAGAATTTCACTTTGGTATCTGTTTGGTTTGGAGCCTTTTGCATGAACTGCCAGCCAAACTGCTACCGTGGACCAGGTCCCTTTCTATCAGAGTGGACAGGAATGGAAATACTATGAATTAAACATGTCTCCTACATGGTGGGAGCGCTTGTAGGTGTCAAACAGTGAACATTTTTAACTTTACACAGGCAGGACAAGAATGAGCACTTTGCTGTAACTAATGGCTGAGAGAGCACATTGCCCTGGAACTGGGCAGTTACTCGGGTCACTCTACACTCCAATCTTATTTGGGATCAGTTACATTATTGACGTTTTCACTGAAAACATGCAAAACTAACAAAAAAGATAAACAGGAGCATATAAATACATACCATGCTCCAATCTTTCATAGTCTGAATCCAGAAGAAACGTTTTAAAGCGATTAGACACATAGTGGAAAGCCAAGAACTTCAGGTAATAGAGATTGAACTCAAACTCAGCTGGATACTGGTTGTGAACCTGAAACACACAGAGAGTAAGGTCAACAGAAAAGTAAAAGCCATGCCATAGGACACTTACCTGAAATATGATGGAGACCTCTAGTCATTCATCTGACAAATGCTTAAACTTCTGTTAATCCCACCAGTCGAGAAGACCACTACCACAATTTAAAGCCTTTTTTTTAAAAAAAAAAAAAAAAAGATTATGTATATAGTGTTCTGCCTGCATGTATGCCTGCATGCCAGAAGAGGGCACCAGAACTCATTATAGATGCTTGTGAGCTATCACGTGGTTGCTGGGAATTGAACTCAGGACCTCTGGAAGACCAGCCAGTGATCTTAACCTCTGAGTCATCTCTCCAGCCCTTAAAGCCAAATTTGAAGCAAGCTTTAATTAAATACTAGCCAGGTCCATACCCAGGTTCTCAGGAAATGGTGATGAGTCACATTTTGTAGAAACTTAAAAAGACAGCCCTACAAGGCCACCATATTTCTCATCAGGTTTAATGAGGCAAGCATATATTCTGACATATTTCCTGCCTGCATACCTCCTGCCTACATCCAATCAGGGGCAAGCATACATCCTCATACATCCTAATGTGTTTCCTGTCTATCTATGTACTTCCCATCAAGCACATCCAGTGCAATTGAGCCAAACTTGTTTAAGGGAACAGAAAACATGTGGCTTGTTATCTCCCATAAACAACAGCCTCCAGCATTTCAGGAACTGTCTGTCCTTGGGCAAGGGGCTTACAGGTTAGAGGCAGTTTTCTTCATGGATCTCTTAGGCTCAGTAATTAAAACTTAAAACATAACTTTGGCTCTCACACCTCCACCACTAACAAAGATGGAAAGGGGCAGGTTTTCTGAGCACCTATTATGTATGACACTAGATTAGGGGTCTCTTAATTTTCATAACACTACAAGATAGGCCTTATTACTCTCAGTTTACATGTGAGGAGGCTTAGGTCAGCGACACCATTCAATAGTAACTATTAGGCCCAAATTTGAATACTGCATTGTTTGGCTCCATTCACAACATTATACTATGCAAAAAATTTGACAGATAATTAACATAATTTGTGGCTTTTGTTTTGTGGCATAACAGTGTGAAACACAAAACTGTACTTAGGGAAGTTTGGAAAGCACAGAATAGGAAGAAGTAGGGCTTAAAGGACAACAAGGGACACTCTCTGGACAAGAGATTTATGAATCTGTCTGAAGGCAGTTCAGAAGGAGCCAATAGGAAGACAGAGCATTTTAGAAAGAGCTACCAGAACAATTCTTGCAGCCAAGAATGAGAGTCTAGGGCTCAGATACCAGGAAGTATTGGAAAAGAGAGATAGGGCTGTAGACAGAGATCCTTTCTGTTAGGCACAGTGACTCAAGCCCTTAACCAATGTTAGTTCCCACTGTGGCAGCAGCCTGCCTCAGTTGCTGACGCAGTTACGTCATCACCTGTCACTATGCCCACTCCTAAAAGTGCCAGCTAGGGACAGTAGTCTCTCTTCCTCTTTTGTCTTTCTTGTCTCTTGCCTCTCTTCTTGCCTGTTCTGTCTGTCTGTCTGCCTCTCTCACACGGCCTTTTGCCCTCTACCTCCCCCTCCCCCAGTAAACCTCTTTCACTAACTCTGTTGCACATGGCCTGTTTGCTTAGTGGCATGCCTTGGCAGGGCCCACCGAACGGTACCCACTTTGCCTTTTTTTTTTATCCTTTCAACCAACACTTGGGAAGTAGAGGCAGGAGAACCACGAGTTCAATGTCAGCCTTGCTTACAGAAGACAGTCTAGAAGAAAAATCCCTTCAGATGCTCAAGGAAAGGGGAGGAATGTGTGTCTTTTAACATTTTTTTTCTTGGTGTTTTGAGACAGGAATTTAACACAGCAGTTCAATCCGGTCTGGAATTCATTAAGTAGCATGGCGGTGGGGGCTGGGGAGCTGGGCCTGAACCTGCTGGGCTCCTCCTGTCTTAGCTTCCAAT